ATTCTCTCCAGATAGGAGGGCTGATGACAAGGCATGTGTTCAGGCTTCAGATGTTTTGATGAGACTCAAGGGCAGGAAAGAGACGGGGACTTCCTTCCCTCTGCTCCTGTGTAACCACTTGTGGGTCTGAAAAGGAGAAGTGGCAGCAAGTCCACTTCCTCAATCTCTCTGCCCTGACTCTTCAGCCACAATTTAGGCCTCAGATTCCCACCTGGACCATTGTCTGCCCTCTTCTCTGTCCTCTTGGCCTCCAGTTTGATCCCAGAAAGATCTTCCCAGCACCATATCTGACTTTGTCCCTGAGGGTCCAGTTCAAGCTCTTCACCCTGGTTTTTGGAGGCTCTTCAAGATCAGGCCTCTCTGAATTCCCCCATGCTCACCTGGGACACTCCATCCCACTTTCCCTACCCTCTATATTGAATTATGGAGTCCCTGGGTGGCTCAGTGGTTAAATGCTCTGCTGCTAACTGAAAGGTTGGCAGTTCAAACTCAACAGCTGCTCTGAGGGAGAAAGATGTGGCAGTCTGCTTCCGTAAAGATTATAGCCTAGGGAAACCCTATGGGGCAGTTCTACTCTGTCCTGTAGGGTCGCTATGAATTAGAATGGACTCAATGGCAACAGGTTTGGTTAAGGCTTTACGGGTGGTGAAAATGGTCAAGTACTCAACTACTAGACAAAAGGTTGGTAGTTTAAACCCATCCAGAGGTGCCTTGGAATACAGGCCTGGTGATCTGCTTCTGAAATGTCAAAGCTTTGAAAACCCTATAGAGCACAGCTGTACTCTGCAGACACGGTCTGGCCATGAATTGGAATTGACTCGAATGGCAACTAACAACTATACTGAATTGCTTGGTTTCCCTGAAGAGTGAGGAAGAGAAGGGGAATGCTTCCCAGGTAGAGGTTCAAGTTACATCAGAAGCCTGTAGAGTGTGTGGGAGGTTTGCGGGAACCATGAGTGTTTCCCGGGGAGGAGGAGATGGTGAGACTGGTAAGGCTTGAATCCTGGTTGTCAGGGGGACTAACACGACTTTCACTCCCTCACCCCAGGCATCACCATGTCCCAGCCTGTCTCCTTGGGAATCTTTCTCTTATGTTTCCCTTTTTACCCACCTGCCTCCCTCCACTGTTCCTGCTTCATTCAAATTTCCTCTCTCACTTAGACCAGAATCCTCTCTGGTCTCCTGGCCTAAGTCTGGTTTCTCCCTGTTCAACTGTGATACTCTCACTCCTTTTCCAAAAACCCCTGTGGGTGTTTCTGCCTTCCAGGATAAAGTTCCAATCTTCAGCTTGATCCAAATACTCCATACATACTGTGATTCCTCCACGTTAGCAGCAGAGCTAACGTGGAACCCAGAGCCTGTCACTTGGACTATGAAGGGTAGCCTATTACATGGTTGCCCCCAATGAACCATGCCTCTGGCCATTCACATCCTTGCATGTCCCCTCCCACACTGACTCTGGGCCTGGCTTTGTGACTTCATTGGCTTGTGAAGCAAGCAGAGGCTTGAAAAGTACTTGCACATTGGGGCTTCTTCTCTTGGAAACTCTATTTTCGAGCCCTGAGCCATCAGATAAAGAGATTTTGCTACTCTGCTGGAGAGACTGCCCTCCCAGGCTGTGGCTGAGGTGCCAGACATGTGAGTGAAGAAGCTATCTTTGAAGTTCCAGCCCCAGTAGACACCGAATGGAGCAGAACTTCACCCAGCCCAGAATTCTGGGAAACAATAAATTGCTATTGTTTTAAGTCACTAAGTTTGGGGTGGTTTGTTATGCTGCAATAGACAGCTGGAACACTAGGGTGCAATGAATTACTTAATATGGCCCTTCTAGCCCTGGGTTTTTTGACTCCCACACAATGATTGGGTTGGGCTATGCAAATAAGGTGCTTGTGACACATCAAGTGGTTTGGACAGCTTGCTGCTAATGTAAATAAAGCCCACTGCACATGAAAGCTGAGTGCCTCTGGGCAGAGGCAGAGGGCCAGGGAGAGGCGTGCCTACGAGCACAGCTGGGACGAGGCTCTGCTGATGGGAGAACTGTATCCTGAGCATTCCTGAACTTGAATTGTAACCTGTTACTTCCCTAATAAACCCCATAATCGTTGAGTATAGTCTGTGAGTTCTGTGTGGCCATTGCAATAAATTATCGAACCTAGCAGAGAAGTAGAGAGTGCCGTGAGAAGGATAGTTGGTGTCAGAATTGGTAAAGACGGCAGAGAGGGGGTCATGTCTGACCTCTGCCTCATGGAAATCAGCCGTGGGCTGTTGATCTTGATTCTCCTTCCTTCTTGTAGAGACAGGAGGTCAGACATCACCCCCATGCTGTTTTTATAACACTACTTAAAAAGTTTAAGTCTCCCAAGTAAAAGCAGGTGACCAATACTGGCATGGTTCTCTACAGCATTAAGGACCCAAACTCCTTCCACCTTGTTCTGCCTTGCTTGGCCTACACTCCTGAGACCATTATATGCCCTGAGATAGCTGCACCTGCTCCAGCCATCTTGTCTACATTTCAGATGGCATGAAGGAGGAAGGGAGGAGAGCATGCCTCCCCCTCTAAGAATATTTCCTAGAAGCTGCACATACCACTTCTGTTTACATCTTATCAGACAGAACATAAGTCACAAGGCCACACCAAGCTTAAAAGGATGCTGGGAAATTGTCCTGTACCCAGCTAACAATAGGAGCTTCTATACTAAAAATAAGAAGCACTGGTGGCACGATGGTTAACATTAGGCTGCTAACCAAAGAGTTGGTGGTTCAAACAAACTCAGCGGCTCTGTGGGAGAAAAGACTTGGTAATTTGCTCCAGTAAAATTTACAGCCTAGGAACCCTATGGGGCAGTTCTACTGTCATATAGAATCACTACGAGTTGGAATGGACTCAACGACACAGTACATACTAAAAATGGAGTGCCTGGGAGGTGCAAACAGTGAAGTGTTCGGCTACTAACCAAAAAGGCTGGCGGTTCAAATTCACCCAGAGGCACCTTGGAAGAAAGCCCTGGTGATCTATCTACTTCCAAAAAATCAGCCATTTAAAACCCTGTGGAGCACAGTTCTACTCTGACACACATGCGGTTGCCACGAGTCAGTCAACTCTACCTTTTTTTTTAATACTAACAATGGGAGAACGGATACTAAGGGACAACTGCTATTTTGCCACAGTCCTTCATGTTCCCTGTTATGGCCCTTAGTATTTTGCCACCTTGTTGGGGGCAGGTCAAGCTCAAGTCCTCTCCCAGCACACAGGCACCAGCCTACAGGGGTTCTCTGGCCACTCAGAGCTAACCCTGTCTGGTCACTGACCATGTGGCACACTCTCTGCACACTTGAAGTGCACGAACTCATTTAGTGCTCACAATCAGCCCTATGATCTAGATACTTGTTTTTCCCCATTTTTCAGAGTACAAATCTGAATTCAGAGAGACTAAGTAAACTGCTTGAAGTCACACAGCTATTAACTGAAGGTGCCAGGATTCGGACACAGGCGGTCTGGTGCTGTTGTGCAATACATCACTTTTATATGACCTTTCTAACCATGGTCTTGTAACTCCCACCAAATGATTGGATGGGACTATGCAAATAAGGTGCTTGTGGCCCACCATGGGGATTGGACAGCTTGTTAATAATGCAAATATGGTACATGGCACCCTTGTGGGGGTAAGACCATGCAAATGAGGTGTACGGAACCCTAACAGGGGGATTGCCATCCTGCTAGGCTCATAATGAGCCATCCCAGAAGTGAAAGCAGGGACCTCACTACCAAAGGCCAGTAGCAAACAGCATCCTTTGGACTCAGGGTCCCTGCACTGAGAACCTTCTAGACTGAGGAGACAGAGCTGCAACACCAGAGATAGCCTGAGGCAGTGAGAAGCAGTGGCAGAGAAATGGTGGCAGCAGAACCAGGAGACCAGTGCAAGACGGTGCAGTGGGCTTCCCGGCCCACTGAGAGAAGTGGCTACAGCAGGCTTGCTTACCCAGAGAGCTAAACGCCTTTGGGCAGGAGGCTTCCTTGCAAAGTGGGGTGCCTCTGGGCATTTATCAGCAGAAATAAGAGTTTTCTAACACTTGCTTGAGCAGGAGAGAGGTTGGGATGAAGGGCCCAGGGGCCAAGGGAGAGGCTTGCCTGCAGGAATGGCTGAGGAGCTGTCCTGACTAAAGAATTTTAACATGTTACTTCCCTAATAATCCCCTTAATTGTGAGTATGGTCTGTGAGTTCTGTGTGGACACTGCAATTAATCTTCAAATCCAGCATAGACTAGAAAGTGCCGTGGGAGGGATGGCTGGTGTCAGAATTGGTAAAAAGATTGGAAAAAGGAGGTATGTCTGACCTCTGCCTCAGAAGAATCAGCCTTGGGCTGCTGATCTTGATTCTTCTTCTCCCTTGTGCAGTTAGAGGAGCTCATACACCCTGCCACACCATTTTTAAAGGCATGCCTCTTAACCACCATATACTCGGCCAAAGTCTGATAAGCCAAACTACAGTTCGGACGGGAAAGGACAAAGGGAAAAGGGAGTCAGCCGGGGCTGGGGCAACATGGAAGGCAAGGGCCCTGAGCAAGGAGGTGGGCCCTCTACCCTGGCTGCACTCATGGTGGCTCCATGTGAATCCTCCTCATTCTCAGGGACATACTGGGGGGAACAGGCCCCGTAATTAGGTCTTCCCCAGAAAGAACCAACAAATCTGTTTTGGAGGAAGTACGGCCAGAACACTCCTTAGAAAACAAGGACACGTCATCAGGAGGGGTCAATCCCGAGAGAACATCATACTTGGTGGAGGGTCAGCAGAAAAGCCGGAGACCCTCAACAAGATGGACACAACGAGATGGACTGACACAGTGGCTGCAACAATCGTGAGGATGGTGCAGGACCGGGCAACACTTTGTTCTGTTGTATATGGGGATGCCATGACTCAGAGAATGGCACCTAACAACAACAGAGAGGACGAAGACTATGGCCCTGATGTGGCCGATGACTAGATGACTAAGATCAGACAACCAGCTATTTCTAGACCTTTATTTCTCTGTGAAAAGGAGGGGAAAAAAAAGGAATAAAATAAAACGACACAGTTGACACACACAAAAAAAACCACCGAGGGGGAGGAAGGGAGAGAGGGTGGTGAAGTTGATGAGGAAGGGGGTCCTCGATACAGCAGCAGGAGCCAGTGACCTGGGATGCTCATGTCTCTTCCCGGCTGGACTGGGCCCTTGCCTCCAGGGTTATGGCCCTGTCCCACCTCCTGCTCACCCAGCACCCTGGGAGGTGGACAGTGAGAAGTCCCGGGCTGGGGAGAGGGCGAGCCGTGCTAGGGGAAGGGGCCTGGGGTCAGACCATGCACGGGGAGTGACAGCCAAAGGCCCCCAACTGCCTCCCCGAGGGAGGGGCATGGGGGGAGGTGGACACCAGAGGCCGGTGTTGGCTCCTCATCCAGCTTCAGGCCAGAGACAGAACTGGGGAAATAGGAACAGGCAGGAATCAAAAGCACATTCTTCTTCTTTTGCTCCCAGCCCCAGAGCCTGTCCTTGCAGATCCCCCTCCTCCTGGGTTCCCTGGGGTCTCAACACCTTACCAGTCAGAGCCTCCTGGGCAAAGTACTTGACGTCTACATCCTGGTCCTGGGTCAGCTTCTCCAAGATGGGCTTGACCTCACTCTGCAGTGTGCTGGAGGGGAAAACAGAGAAGGAAAAGGGTGAGCCAGCCAGGGCTGGGGCCATACAGAAGGCAAGAGTCTTGAGCAAGGAAGCGTCCACAAATCCAAACACACTGACACACAAAGTGTGTACAGTCTGAGGTCCAGGACAGACAAACACATCTGTGAACAAGAAGTCTCTGAGGCCTAGAATACAGTTTCCTTGAGGGTCAAAAGCCTGACAAACCAAGACAGAGATCTCTGGGGCCCAGAACAGGCACACTAGATTAGTTTTGTCTATTTTTGAACTTTATATAATAAATGGAATCACAGTGTGTTTTCCTGAGTCTGGCTTCTGTCAACGTGATGTCTGTGAGTCACCCTGTTGTTATGTGTCGTCGAGTGGATTTCTGACTCAGAGTGACCCTATGACAGCAAAACTGCCCCATAGGGTTTTCTAAGATGTCATCTTTACAGAAGTAGATTGCGAGCTCTTTCTCCCATAGAGCTGAACTGCCAATCCTTTGGCAGCAGCTAAGCGCTTAACCATTGTGCCACTGGGGCTCCTTGTGAGAGTCACCTATGTTGTCTCATACAGCGGTTCAGTTTTTTTCATGGCTGAATACAGGATTCCATTGTATGAATAAAGCACAGTTTATCCACTTTACTGTTGATAAGCATTTGGGTGGTTTCCATTTTATTAGTGTTGTTGTTAGGTACCATGGAGTTGTTTCCAACTCCTGGCAAACCCATGTACAACAGAAGGAAACACTGCCCAGTCCTGCACCAGCCTCACAATCCTTGCTATGTTTCAGTCCACTCTTGCAGCCACTATGTCAATCTATCTCCTTGAGGGTCTTCCTCTTTTTCACTGACCTTCTACTTTACCAACCATGATGTCCTTCTCCAGGGATTGGTCTCTCCTGATAACATGTCCAAAGTTAAGAAAGATGAAGTCTTGGCATCCTTGCTTCTAAGCTACCATGAACATTCTCTTGGTAGAAGCAAGCATCATTTCTCTTGGCTAAATACCCAGAGGGGAAGGGCTGACTTACAGAGCATACACAGAATTCACTTCACAAGATTCTACCAGTTTTCAAAGTGATTGAAATAATTTGCAGCCTCATCTGCAAAGTATGAGTTCCAGCTGTTCTACATCCTCACCAACAGTTTTGCTATTCAATCTTTTTTAAGTTTAGTCATTCTGGGGTGGCTCCGAGTGGCTCTGTGGGAGAAAAGACCTGGCGATCTGCTCCCATTAAGAACACAGCCTTGGTAACCCTATGGGGGCAGTTCTACTAAGTCACGTGGAGTTTCCATGAGTAGAAATTGACTCCACAGCACCTAACAACAAGTTGAGCCCTTTTTATATATTTACTGGCTATTTGGAGACCCTCTTTTTGAAGTGCCTGTTCAAGTCTTTTTTTGCCCATCTCTTTCTTTGTCTTACTGATGTGTAGGAAGTATCCTAGGTCTGAGTCCTTTGTCAAATATATGTATTGCAAATATCTCCTCCTGTCAGTGGCTTTTCACTCAGTGTTGTCTTTTGATAAACAGTTCTTAATTTTACTGAAGGCCAATTTATCATTTCCTTTGGTTAGTGGTTTTTGTGCCTTGTTTAACAAATCTGTGCCTATCCCAGGTCATGAAGATATTATATTCTCCTACATTTTTTTCTAGAGATTTTATGTTTCATTTCTGTGGTTCTGGTCTGTCTTCTCAAATTAATTTTTGTTGCTAGATAAAGGGGGGACTCAAGCCTCTGTTGTTCCACAGGGATATCCAATCGACCCAGCACCATTTATGACAAATACCTACCCTTCCCCACTGAATTGCAGTGGTGCCTGCTGTTACATATGTACAGGTCTGTTTCTCTTCCCTCGATTCTGTTCCACTGGGCTATTTGAGTGGCCCTGTGCCAATACTTGTGGCATTATATTAAGCCTCGGTTAAGTATTTCAAGTAGGGTAAGTAGTATAAGTCCTCCAACTTTGTTCTTTAGAACCACCTTGGCTATTCCAGATCTTTGCATTGCCATGTTAACTCCAGAATCAAGTTGTCAACTTTCCACTAAAAAACCTGCTGAAATTGACTGGGATTGTTCTGAATCTATAGATGAATTCAGGGAGTCATCCATCTACTAGTATCATGTAGGTCATCTTTAATTTCTAAAAGCAGTATTATATAGTTTTCACTAAAGGTCTTAAGCGTCTTTCATTAAATTTATCCCTGGGTATTCGCTATTTTTTTTGTGCAATTGTGAAGTTTATTTTTATAGTTATAAATATATAAATACATTGGACAGCTTACTTTGCAAATAAGGTGTGTAAAACCCTTGCAGGGATGGACAATTTACTATGCAAATTAGGTGACTGGCCTACCAAGGGAATTGGTCAGTTCATGGTCTAGTGGGAGGAGAGGCTTATAAAAGGGCCAGTCCCACAAAGGCTGAGGGGGTACCTCACTACCAACAAGAAGAAGAGCTGGGAGCACAGCACATCCTTTGGACCTGGGGTCCCTGTGCTGAGAACCTCCTAGACCCTGGAGAAAGACAGCTGGAACACTAAAGTTAGAGGATCTCTGATGCTACTACTAGCTTACATACATAAATAACATATATCCACTACCACCACCAGCTGCTACTGAGTCAATTCCGACTCATGGCGACTCCATGTGTATCAGAGTAGAATTGTGCTCCAAGGGTTTTCAGTGGCTGATTTTTTGCAATTAGATTGCCAGGCCTTTCTTCTGAAGAGCCTCTGGGTAGACCTGAACCACCAACCTTTCAGTTAGCAGCAAGAGCATTAACTGTTTACACCGCCCAGGGACTGGCTGGAGACCATTTTCTAATGGTTGGTTGCTAGTATATAGAACTGCTACCTCTTCCTCCTTCCATTTCATTCTATGAAGTAGGCCATGTGAATTCTCATTCTACATTTGAGGAAACTAAGATCTAGGGAAAGAACGAGATAGGCCAAGAGCACAGAGCAAGTAAAGAGCAGCGGTGGGCCTCCAATCTTGGGCTCTGTCTTCAAAGGTCACAGATTAAGATCAGGGATGGGTCCAGAACAAGTTCCTGGTGGTGTCCGGGGGAGTGCCCAGGCCTCACCTGTTGTCCAGGATGGGCCCTATCTTCTGGAGGGACTTAGCCACGTTGAAGCGGACATTGGCGACAGGGTCCCCAGCCATTCGCAGGACGGTGGGCAGCATGTGCTTGGTGGTGATGTCCTGCCCACAAACCTCAGACAGCACCTGGGGGCCAGGGAGTGGTAGAGGGGGGATTACTCCAACTTCATGGCTAACTTCCCGGTTTCCCTTCCCCTGACCAGGTCACTTCAGCAATCATCAGCCCTGGGGGGGAAACTGAGTAACATGGGGCCTCTGAGCCCAGATGCTCCACCCTGGGGGAAGTTTATCCTCATGAAGTTCTCCTCTCCCTAAGGCCTCCTAACACGACTCCCTTCCTGGGGTCTCCCAGCCCCACGGTCTCACCACCCCATCCTCAGAATTCCCTTACTCTTCTGGAAAAGAAACTCTGATTCCCACCCCAAGGATTTCTCCTTTATTGCAATGGTCTTCAAAATCTGACACAGGAAGAAATGATCAGAACATTTATTTATATTTACTTTTAAATCCCACCCTCAATTTCTAGTTATGTGTATGGCTTATATACACATATAGTAGTACACAAAATAATCAGAATAATAATACCACCAAGGGACAGGAGAAATTCCTATGTACCAGACACTGTTCTAAGCACTCTGCATGTAGAACCAAACCAATCCTCACAATCTGAGGAGTTAGGTACTCGATTACCAGTATGAACATCTTACAGGGGAAAAAACTAAAGCACTAAGCAGTTAGGTCATTTTCCCCAGGTCCGTAGCTAACATATGGCAGAGCTAGAATTAAAAGCTAGGTCTGACTCTAGAGCCTGCACACGTAACCATTACATTATAAATAAACATATAAATAAATATGTCACGGAGAAGGAAAGGGGTGTTCAGAAAAGTATGGAGATCACTGAATGAACGAACAGGTCAAGTCTCCCTAGTCCTGGGTCTCGCACCACTCAAGTCCCTAACCCCAGAGGGGTCCCATGACCTTGAATCTGGGAGCCCCAACCCCTGGCCTTCAGTTCCCCAAGGACTCATCCCTGTGCCCCCAGACCCCCACCACTTCCCCATCCCCAAGCCAGGTGTCTCTCCCTTGGGGACCCTTCACCTTCCCTCCTCTCCCAGGAACTCCCCGTTCCCAAAGTTCAGGCAGGTGGGCAGGCAGTGGTGCTCACGTTGATGCAGAAGAGCGTAGTCATACGGTGCAGGTAGTTGGGGTCCCCAGACATGGCCAGGACCTTGGGGATGATGGTGGCATGGGCCCATTCCTTCCCAAACTTCTCCACCAGCTTCTTCAGGTTGCTGGTGGCCGCCTCACGGATGGCATAGACTGTATAAAAGTGAAGGTGGGTAAGTGGGACAGCGATTCCAGAGGTGAAGGACTGACGTGGGCAGGGAGTAACAGTCATACTCCCGACTGCTTACTGAGTAATCCCTAGGTGCCAGGCCACATAAGAGTCACTACGCTCCAGCCAAAAAGAAAGGAAGCACTCACTCTGTACGATAATAAGATGAGCATTTTTTTCTCATGCAGTATCTTCTCAACAACTCCAAGAGGGAGAGTTCCATTAGGGCCTCATTTTATAGACAGGCAAACTGAGGCTGCAAGAAGTGATTTGCCCAAGCAAGTTATTTAGTACTTAGTACTTTGAATGGTGCTGGATACAGACAAATGTGAACTTCTATTTTGACCACTCTTAGTGGGAAGAAAAAAAAAAAAGAAGCAATTCTCACAGTGGTCCTGAGAGTCTGCAGAGAAAAGTCCTATGTCTCAAAGCGTGAATGTGGGGCTGAAAGATGGCAGCAACTAGCTCAGGTTCACACAGCCCAGAGAAGGCAGCACATCCAGGTTTGTCGGCTCAGTGGGAACTCAAGACTCTCCACTACAGCGGGCAGCCCCTGGTTGATCTATTAACACCCTCCTCCTACCCTCCACTTCTCTAGGATTCTACAAAGCAAGTAGCTGGCCCGCAGGAGCACCCAACGGGATAGAGGACTGACTACAGCCACCTGTACCTCTACCTCCCCTCCCCACCCCCACTGGCCCTGGCCAGTCCACCCATTCTTCCTGGAGCTCCGATCACCTGCCTTCTTGCTGGAGGCACTCACCATGATCCACCAGCCAGGCCATGCACAAGGAGTTGAGCTTCTCATCAAAGAACTCCACCCCCTGCAGGAGAAAGGAGGGAAGGAATCATGCGGGGATGGGCAGGGAGCTGTCAGTGACACCCAAGGGAAACCCCCCAACCCTAAACAGACTAAACACTTCTCAACTTTACCTGAAGTACTCCTTTCCCTCCTCTCTCAGTGAGTTCTATTCATTTTTTAAGGTCCTTCCCCTGACTCCCCAGGCAATCCTCACGCTTCCACTGAGCCCCCCTTGCTCTGCACCGTGACTGATCCTGGTGTCTCCCTCCCCAGGGCAGCAGCCTCCAGGCCTCCTCGCTCACCAGCTGTCCAGCCAGCAGGGGCATGTACTCAATGATGGCCAGCCGCACCCGCCACTTGGCGTCCTCGGCCAGCTCCACGATGGCGGGGAGCAAGGACTGGGACAGTTGCCGGATGCCAATCACCTCGTTCACACAGTCCAGGTTGGAGATGATGTTCAGCCGCACTTCGGGGCACTTGGGGGAGGACAGAAAGGGTCTGAGAGGATGTACCATATATGGCCACCCAGGACAGAGTAGCAAGAAGTTAGAAGAATCAGATAAACTGGGCATGCCAAGATGCAGGAGATTCAAAGGGAGTCAGCACAGTATAAATCCATCTGTAATACCCACTCAAGAGGGAGCTTGCTTTCTTGAATGAATTAAAAATTAACTGGATTGAGGCATAATGTGACTTAAAAAGATCTGAAGTGTTGGTGAGGATGTGGAGAAATTGGAACCCTCACTCATTGCTGGTGGGATTGTAAAATGGTGCAGCTGCTTAGAAAAGCTGGTAGTCCCTCAAAAAGTTAAACACAGAAATACTATGATCTAGCAATTCTACTTTTAGGAATACACCCAAAAAAATTGAGAACAGGAATGCAAAGAGATACTTGTACACCAATATTCATTGCAGCACTATTCACAACAGCCAAAAGATGGAAACAACCCAAATGCCCATCAACCGATGAATGGGTAAACAAAATGTAATACAGACACACAACGAAATACTACTCAGCCATAATGAGAAATGAAGTTCTGATGCGTGCCACAACATAGATGAACCCTGAAAACATGCTCAGTGAAATAAGTCAGTCACAAAAGGACAACTATTGTATGATCCCACTTACATGAAATATCTAGAATAGACAAACGCACAGAGACTAAAGTTTATTAGTGGGTAATGGGGTGCAAAGGAGGTAGGTGGAAACTGAGTTTCCATTAATGGTGACAGAATAATTTGGAAACGCACAGTGGTGATGATGGTTGCACGACGTGATGAACGTAATCAATATCACTGAATTATACATGTAAAAACTGTTAAACTGGCCAATGTTTTGTTATATATATATTTTACCACAATACAACAATTTAAAAAAAAAAAAAAAGTGTCTATAAAGCCAGTTAGATGGATTTCCTAAGCTGCTTGAAGAGCCCTGGGCTGAGTGCAGCCACACTGTCAGCCGTGGTGGAGGACTGAAGGTGTTAGAACACATCTAGCACAGCTAGTGGAAATGTTCTTGGCACTGAATACTGGTCATCCTCTGTCCTTTCCCTGAAGGAGAAGGTTAGCACCACGCAATCTAAAAGTGGAAAAATGGTGTGAGGGCCCATGTGGAGTTTCACCTCTGGCGATAAGAACTGTGCACCCCAATAATTTAATAATACGACTTTTTTTTTAGTGAAATTGAAGTGCAGTGCTTGTTGTTAGTGTTTCTTCCCACTTACACCATCACACTGTGTGCACGCCTGTGCACGAGAAAGGAGAAAGAGAGAGTGACTGGTTGGCTGATTGATTTGACCCTTTGTGAGCACAGAAGCTACATAAACAAGTTGCCCACCACGCAGATGGTCCCACCATCTGCCTAGTCACCACCAAGACCAAAACCAGGGAGCCTGCAAACCAGCCCCCACACCACATGGTCCCTTCTGCCTCCTGAACAAGCTCAGATCCTCCTCCATTTCTACTCCTTAGTCCCAGCCTCCCCTGCCCCCAGGCTCCTGCCGCACCCTACGGTGTCCTTTCCGTGCCCTTCTGTGGCTGCCTCCTTTCGTTCACACCAGCCTCAGTGTTCCTTCCTACCATCCAGATCTGTTCCAGCTCCTCCACTGCCCACAGACTCAAGTCCTACCCCCTACCTGGCAGTCACCCTGACAACCTCTCCAGCTGTCACACAGCCTCTCATCCTCTGTCCTCCAGGCAACCTGAATGGCTAGGTGTGGTCAGGTGACTGGTCCTGGCTAATGGGTGTCTGGGGTGTCAACAGACGGGATGAGTGCCCTCTTTTGCGTCCTGCCCTTAAGAGGATGAGGCCTGCTTGTCTGGTGCCTTTCTACTTCATGCTGGCTGAGAGATGGGGAGACTCAAAGAAGCCACCTCGGACCCACAGGAAGCCATGTGCTGAGGTCAACAGAGTTAACCCAACGGTGCAGTACCAACCCAGGAGTCCGTGGGTGGTGCAAATGATTAAGCAGTTGACTACGAACCAGAAGGTTGGTGGTTTCAAACCCACCCACAGGTGTCATGGAAAAAAGGCCTGGCAATCTGCTTCCTAGAGGTCACAGCCTTGAAAACCCTAAGCAGCAAGGTTCTACTCTGCACACGTGGGGTCGCCATGAGTCAGAATCAGCTCGATGACAACTGGTTTGATTTTGGTAGTACCATCCACCTCTGGACTGTTGTGTGAAAGAGAAATAATCCTCTCTTGTGTAAGCTGCTATATTTTAGGGCCTCTACTATTAGGACCAGTGTGAGGAGGGGAGGCAGAGGTGGCTGGAGTCACTCCTCCACCCCTTTGGGTACCGGCCACTGACCCAAAGACTGGGGGTTCAAGTCCACCCTGAGGTGCCTCAGAAGAAAGGCCTAGCAATCTACTTCTGAAAAATCAGCCACTGAAAACTCTATGGAGTGCAGTTCTACTCTGACTCACATGGGGTCGCTGTGAGTTGGAATCAACTTGACAACTGGTTATTACAGCATTTTAGTGTGAACCCTAAAAAAACACGAACCCATGCATACAACCATCACAGTACCTACAGATTACTGGAATTATAGGATTGTCTCTCTCTCCACTGCTAGCTTTTGAAGGTCTATGAGGATCAAAACTGTCTTGTTCTTTTCTTGCTATCTTGATGTCCAGGAAAGGAGCCTTGGTGGCACAATGGTTAAGCTTATGACAACTAACCAAAAAGTCAGCAGTTCAAACCCACCCAGTGGCTCTGTGGGAGTAAAGACCTGGTGATCTTCTCCTGTAAAGATATATAACCTAAGAAACCCAATGTGGCAGTTCTGCTCTGTCCTGTAGGGTGGCTATAAGTCAGAATCCACTCAACAGCACCCAACAATAGCAACAATATCCAGGAAAGGGTCCCTAGGTGGCACACACAGTTTGTGTTAGATTGCTAACCTAAAGGTTAGCGGTTCGAATCCACACAGTGGTACCGCGGAAGAAAGGTCTGGCGATCTGCTTCTGTAGCGATTACAGCCAAGAAAACCTTATGCAGCAGTTCTACTCTGTAACACATGGGGTCGCCATGAGTCGCAATCAACTCAACGGCAACTAACAACAACGTCCAGGAAAAAGAGGAGCACAGAGTAAGTACATGCAAAACAACTGGAGTGTAAGTGAATGAATGAACATGTAGACAGCTGAGCCTACAACATTCAGCTCATTGGAGAACTGGGCTTCTGCTGAGATCCCAAGACTCCTGACCAATCTGGGTCAGCAGCTGACCCTCCTGTCTTCTCTAAACCTAAAGCTCAGAGCCTTCTTGGCACCCTTACCTCATCCTTCAGCTGCGCCAGGAAGAGGGGCAGGAGGTGCTCAATTGTGTTGTCTTTGCCCAGGATGGGAGAGAGGCCCATGATAACCGAGGCCAGGGCCGACTTGACATGTTGGTTGGCGTCTGACACCAGCTCCTGGTAGGGAGAAGGAAGGGGGAAGCCACAAGGGTCAGGGCAAACCTGCAGTAGCAAGTGGCCAAGTAGACGCCAACTCCTCACAAGCCCTGGGGCAACAGCTTGCTTCTGCCCGTCCACTCATGGAGATAGTGGCTCACAGTACGATGCGCACTGTAGTTCTCACATGCCCCGCCTGCTCAGAGTTAAATGACCTCTACTCTCAGCAACCCCCACCCTAGTCCCAAAGCTCTCTGGACGAATATAGTCAATGACCTCTCAGGAGGAAGCACTCCTCCCTCCAAGATCAGCCCCACGTCTCAGATTCTGCCTGCGATCAGGACACTAATTGCTTCAAACTCAAAAGCTACCTGGTCCTAAAAGGCTGGGAAGCTCGTCTGCAGCTATTTGGCTGCCCCTGAAGCCCAGTATCTATCCTTTCCTCTCTGCAGGTTTAGAACTGCTCCATTTCTCCCACCAAACTCCCCATTACCTTGATACAGGGCAGGATCTGGGTCATAATCACGTTCTCCTGGCAGTCGGCAGAGAGATTTTCGCAGAACTCTGAGGGTGGGGAAGAGAGGTAGGGGGAGGTTAGCCCTCATGTCCTGGTTCCATCCCAGCCCCTCTGATGCTCACCCACCCACTCACTTATGTGTTTTGGTCGCCAGCACCAACCTTTGACCTTGTGGGAGGCGGCGGCCCTCACCTCGGCCTCACAGTCCTTCATTAGGTTCTGGAAGGCGGGGACCAGGTCCGTCTTGGTGATCTCAGGCCCCACTGCTTTCTGGAGCTGCAGACAGGAAAAGGGGAGAGTGGGGAGAGTAAGAGGGTTTGGCAGGGACTTATGACATGTTTGAGTTACAACAAACTGTGCTTACGACCATTTTTTTTTTGTACGTCTTACCGTTATTAATATGTACTACAATACAGTGTTGCATAATTTGCTGTTATCATTATCTGTAAGTTTATATGAAATGTTTCCAATCTCCAAGGACAAATAAAGATGGGATTTAAGAATGCTGATAATAAAAAAAACATTAGTAATGAAACTTAAAAATAAATGAGGTATTCAACTTACATCAGAACCGACTTATGAAGGAGTCATTGGAACAGAACCCCATCATAAGCTGGAGACTACCTGTACTCTGGGTTAATGAGGCCAAAATCAAAGGGAAGGCAACAAATTAGGAGAAACAGCACTGGCCTGGGAATCACTGCTGAGATCTACTCTAGTGCCACAGTGTGGCCCTGCCCTTTCCCCTCTGAGGGTCTCAGTTTCCCTATGTGTGTGATCATGTAGACAGTCTCTCGCCTACCTCTGTGAACTTGTCAGCCACCATGTATCGGACGCGCCAGGACTTGTCCTCAGCAGCCTGGCGCAGGGTGGGCATCACCAGGGCCTCCAAGTCCTCCTGGGGCAGGAGCTGGGCAATGTTCACACATGCCTCCACTGCCAGCAGCCGCACCGAGTCCTGGGCAGAGGGTTGGAGCAGGGAGAGGGCAGCAGAGCCCTGTTAGGCTTTGGACTTCCCTTCTGAATGCAGGTCCACAGTGGAAGGAGGGCTGGGGAAGAGCTCACCTGCTCATCAGAGGCCAGGTTGGAGAACATCGGGATGATCTCGCTCTTGACATTGTCCAGCTCCAGCACCTTGGCGAACTCCCCCAGCTTGGAGGCTGCGGCCCGCCGCACCATGGGGGTGTCGTCTGAGCACAGGTTCCGGAAGTACCTGGGGGTGGGGATGGGGTTCGGGAGGAAGAATCCCCGGGGATCCCATGAAGCCCTAACTTTGAGGCAGCCATTCCTGTGGGGGCAGAGAGCCCATACTGCAGCTACTCAGGTGAGTTGGTTGATCTTGGGCAAGTAATGGCCCCTCTCTGAGTCTTACCAGCCCTATAAAATGAGCTGGTCATAACAGTACCCGCCCCACAGGGCTGTTGTGAGATCTGAATGAGACAGTGTGCATGAGGCACTTAGCAGCCTGTCGGCATGTAAGCCTCCAATGAACAGTAGATTCTGACGATTATATTATTATTACCATATTTGTTTTTGCTGTTAGTTGCCATGGAGTTGCCCCATGTGTGCAGAGCAGAGCTGCTCCATAGGGTCTTCAAGGCTGTGACCTTTCAGCAGCAGATTGCCAGGCCTGTCTTCCGAGGGACCTCTGGGTAGATTCAAACTGCCAACCTTTCAGCTAGCAGTTGGGCGCTTAACCACTTGCACCACCCAGGGACTCCTATATTATCATCATATAAAACTCCTTAACTTAAGAAGTTAGTCTGGGACCACCAAAAGGTTTTACTTTTCAGCAGTGACTGCTTCAGTCAGAGATGCGTGGGGGCTATCATAGGCATTAAGCACGTGTATACAGCTGTGAACCAGTATTCTGGGGTGAGTATCTTTAGCTTGAAACCCTGGTGGCATAGTGGTTAAGAGCTACGGCTGTTAACCAAAAGGTCAGCAGTTCGAATCCACCAGCTGC